TCACACCTTTGGCTCTGCCCTAAAACGCTCCTGTCCTTGTGCTCCATTGGCCCGCCTCGGTCAGGTGGGCAGAGGATGCCCGAAATCCTCTCCTAAGACAGGAAAATACTCCAACATTCTCCAGTGTTTGCTGCAGGCGGTTGACGCATCAGCTGCACGGTTAATCAGAGAGCAGGTGATCGGCTAGGACCTACTTCCATTTTCCTGACACTTGGCTTTTGAGCAGAGGGGCCCAAGCCGGGAGAAGTAGGATGGGGGCTGGAGCGAGCGCCGAGGAGAAGCACTCCAGAGAGCTGGAGAAGAAGCTGAAGGAGGATGCCGACAAGGATGCGAGAACTGTCAAGTTGCTGCTGCTAGGTAAAGACACTAAATAACAGGAAACTTCACCACCATGGTGACACATAATTAAGGGCCCCATAAGGCTCCATGGTGCAGCTATTTTTTACCTTAAATCCTACAAGCCATATCTGAGACATAATTATAGCTGGTGCATGTCACCTTATTTCTAAATTATCAACACAGACAGATCTTATTGACTAGAGTTTGTTAAGGATGGACAAAATGAATCTAAATAACCTTTTGATTACATAAAAAAATCTTGTTTATTTATATTAACTGTGATTATGACAAGCAACATGTTTGAGTAAAGGCTTAATAACACGTGTCATTGAATTGTTCAGACCCTTTGATAATCACTCAACCCAATCCCTTGTTAATCCTAAAACAGCAGGTCCTCCATCACAAAGGGCTTAACCCTGAAGGACATAGATACACTAGGACCTGTGGCTGTAGCATTCAAATACAATAACCTAAATACATAACATGCACAATGTAAGTAGCTGATTGGGATGAAAAATTTAGTGCAAATTTTCAAGTTACATTAAATATTTTTTAATTTAAGGGCCGACGAAATCTGTATAGACCAATGTTGGATTTAATAGCAAAAGCGTTTCCAAGATTATACTGATGCAGCTCGGTATATAATTTTCTATAATGTCTCTAAGGTTATTATAGATATTGTTTCACACTCAGCTTAATCGTCTCCTCGTGACATTGTGGGTCAGGGACGGGGAAAGTTTTTTCTGACATCAGCTTTGAATGCGATTAGACCTGAAGTAAGAAGTATTATGACCTGCTGTGATCCTCTGTCTGATGAAAGCCATTACCTGCAGTTAATGTCATTTTCCGCTCACATGCATGAAACCCAAAGCATAAATTAAAGCACAAACACTATGAATCAGAAGAAGTCATATTCCTTCAAAATCCTCATAAATGTGGAAAACTTTGAAACAAAGTTTGGAATACAAACATCTTTTTTCTACTTTCATACAGGTGCTGGAGAATCAGGCAAAAGCACTATCGTCAAACAGATGAAGTAAGATATTTGATATTTCGACTATTTTCCTCTTTGACTGACTGTAAATCACAAACTAATACTGTGTCTCTCATCAGAATTATCCACAAAGATGGTTACTCACTTGAAGAGTGCTTGGAGTTCATTGTCATCATCTACAGCAACACCCTGCAGTCCATCATGGCCATCGTGAAGGCCATGAACACACTCAATATTAACTACGGCCACTCTGATCAGCAGGTGACAGCTGAGATGTTGATTTTAATGTGTTTTGCATGAATTGATTTTAGGTTTCCAGCAGACTATTAAACATGGATCGTATGTGTCCCTGTCCTCTTAAATCTACCCTGCAGGATGATGCCCGTAAACTCATGCATCTTGCAGACACCATTGAGGAGGGCACCATGCCCAAGGAGATGTCAGACATCATTTTGCGCCTGTGGAAGGACTCTGGCATCCAGGCGTGCTTTGACAGGGCCTCGGAGTACCAACTCAACGACTCTGCTGGATAGTAAGAAATCACGCAAACTAAGAATTAAAATAGTCAAATTAGTGTTTGTCATTAAATGAATTTGATTTTCCCTCAGCTACTTGAATGACTTGGAGCGACTGATCCAACCAGGCTATGTGCCCACTGAGCAGGATGTGCTGCGATCAAGAGTGAAGACCACTGGTATCATCGAGACTCAGTTTTCCTTCAAAGATCTCCACTTCAGGTGAATCAGCGACCCAGTCGCCGGTATAAATGGTGGTGTTGCACACTTCTGCAAACAATGGATATTCTAAATTTTACGTTTCTTATGTAGCAGATATTATGAACCTTTGTGGTTCTTTACATTTCAGTTTTCAATTTATGTTGTGACAGTGCTGTGGTTCACTTGTTGTTAGGGTTTAGGCACAAAAACCATTTAGTTAGGGTTAGGAAACATCATGTTTTGGCTTAAAATACCCAGTTTGGTCGCCACAAACACAGCTAGAAATGTCCCAACCTCTCACTAAAAATGCTTGATTGTGACACAACAAGCACAGCTGGAAATGTCCTGAGCTTTTGTTTGAAAAAATAGATTTTGATGCCACAAACACAGCTAAAAATGTCCCAACCTTTTGTTAAAAAATACCCAATTTTGTTGCCAGAAACAAGGCTGGAAATGTCCTGACCTCTCGTTAAGAAATACCTGATTTTGACATAACAAGCACAGCTGGAAATGTCCTCAGCTTTTGTTTAAAAAAATTGATTTTGATACCACAAACACGGCTAAAAATGGCCCGACCTTTTGTTAAAAAAATACCTGATGTTGTTGCCACAAACACAGCTGGAAATGTCCTGACCTCTCATTTAGAAATACCCAATTTTGACATAACAAGCACAGCTGGAAATGTCCTCAGCTTTTGTTTAAAAAAAATTGATTTTGATGTCACAAACATGGCTAAAAATGTCCCGACCTTTTGTTAAAAAATACCTGATTTTGTTGCCACAAACAAGGCTGGAAATGTCCTGACCTCTCATTAAGAAATACCCAATTTTGACATAACAAGCACAGCTGGAAATGTCCTGAGCTTTTGTTTAAAAAAAATTTGATTTTGATGCCACAAACACGGCTAAAAATGTTCCGACCTTTTGTTAAAAAATGCCTGATTTTGTTGCCACAAACAAGGCTGGAAATGTCCTGACCTCTCGTTAAAAGTACTCAGTTTTTTCACTATAATCACAGCTAGAAATGTCCCTACTTCTTAAAAAATACCTACTTATGTTGGTCTTGAACTGTGGTCCTGATGAGAAACTCAGCTCTTACAGATGTAATCAGAACTATGTCATACGCATCAACTGTACAAATGTTACATACCCATGGTTTGAAGAAGAAGAGAGAATTTTATTCTACAGTATTTCTCAAAAGAGATGGGACCAATAACTTATCATCAATGCTCCCACTGTACTGAATCGCAATCATGACGATAATGTGCTTCTGTTTCCACGCAGAATGTTTGATGTGGGTGGCCAGAGGTCCGAGAGGAAGAAGTGGATCCATTGTTTCGAAGGTGTGACCTGTATCATCTTCATTGCTGCTTTGAGCGCCTACGACATGGTGCTGGTGGAGGACGATGAAGTGGTATGATTTCAGTGATATTTCATGCTTATACTATTTGCGTCTCATCTTTTTTGGACAATCAACAGTTGGTTCATTTAAAAGGCTCTTCTTTGGGACTTCATAAAATACACAAATCCTTTCTTTCAGAACCGAATGCATGAGAGTCTGCACTTGTTCAACAGTATCTGCAACCACCGCTACTTCGCCACCACCTCCATTGTACTCTTCCTCAACAAGAAAGACGTGTTCCTTGAGAAGATCAAGAAAGCTCATCTCAGCATGTGCTTCCCTGAATACGATGGTGAGGTTTATCAGAGCACACAAACTGCAGCACATTTGAAGACTTTAAAAAGTGACATGTTGATTAAAAAAACAACCTTTTCTTTGATATTTTTTTGGTTAAGGCCCCAACACTTATGAGGATGCTGGTAACTACATCAAAGTACAGTTCTTGGACCTGAACTTGCGCAGAGATGTCAAAGAAATCTACTCTCACATGACCTGCGCCACAGACACAGAGAACGTCAAGTTTGTGTTTGACGCCGTAACCGACATTATCATCAAAGAAAACCTCAAAGATTGTGGTCTCTTCTAAGAGCCATGCTGAGAAACCCGATTAAGGTGAGTGAAGTTTGCACAGTATCGTAATGATGACTCAAATTCAACCAGCTAATAAGACTTGCTTTCTGTCTCTTGCAGGGTGATGTAGCCCTGTCACATTCCAAAAATCCCCTCTCAATTCAAGCTGAGGACTGAAGATCAAAACCGTCCCCTCAAACAGCCGTCCTCACACCGGCGAACGCAAGAATTAAATATCAGTTTGTTGTGTTCAAAAATAAGTTGTAGCTTTGACAAAATACTTCGGGTCACCTGAGACCAGAAGACAGCTCCTCAGTCAGAAAATCCTGTGCAGATTTCAGATGAGTTGAATTTTAGTCGAGCTAACTTCTCGTTTGGAGGGCTATGCAATCTATAGGTAAGACATCAAAAGCTTTGTCAGCATAACGTGATTTCTTCTCACATTCACTAATGTGAATAGATGTCAGGCTAATAATGTATATTTGCTCCAGTAACTGGTCAGTGTACAGCTATGAAGCAAACAAGGGGGCCTCACCACCTGCAGACGCACTTCAACTTTTAATGAAAATGTGTAATAAAAAGAACTCGTCACTAGAAATGGCATTTATGTACAAGAACTCTACAGCACAAATTAAGCCGCAAGTCAAAGAGGTAACAAACAGAACTTTTAAGTTAAGCATTAGAAAATGTAACTTTTTGCAATAGTTAAAAAGGGCCAGTGTAAATATTTAAAGTGTTTTCTATTGGACAGTTTATGAAGTGTGGTGATACCATGTGGATCTGTAACGCTGCTGAGTGATAGATGTAATATACTTCAATTGAAAAGTCCTTGTGTAAAAGTTCACTGAATCCACGGGCCATTGAGCCAACTATCCTGTACAGAAACCCATGATTGTAAACCCTGAGTAAACCTATTAAAGCTTCTGTAGAAAACTGAGTTCTTTCCCATTTTTCACAAATAAAAACCAACACAGCTCCTGTCTTGTTCATAATCTGTCATTTATTAATTTCACAGGATATTTCAGGTTCTATTTCTGGCATTATGAAACCACTCATGTTGAGAATTTAACAGCCTTAACCAGTAATTTCAGACTGATTAAAGGAACAGTTCAACATTTCGGGAAATTGCTGTCTTGCCAAAAGATAGACAAGGAGATCGATACCACGAAATACGAAGCTACAGCTAGAAGCCAGTTAGCATAGCTTAGCACAAAGACAGCGGACAGAGGTAAACAGCTAGCCTGGCTCTGCCCATGTACAAAATTTACCTACAAGCATCTCTACAGTTCACATTAAGAGGTTACATCTTGTTCGATTTCAGCTAGCTGTTTCCCTATTTTCTGTCTTTGTGCTAAACAAACCTAATCAGCTGCTGTTGGTAGCTTTATGTTTACTATATAGGGCCAATGTCACCAAATTTGCAATATGAGATCGATTTCTAGCGAATTAATTGGGATGTTTTTAACTCATTAAAACTAACACCATACTCCTGACCACTTTATAAGCACGCCAGGGTCCTGCAGGACTGCAATTTTCGAGTGACAAACATTTGTGATCTGCTGCGCTCATATTTGGGAAATGGCTTCAAGTAATATAAATCTTTAACTCTCAGCATAAAGTGAACAAGCATATTTCCCAAAATGTAATACAATTTCTTCAAAGATAATCTGAGACAAAGCGCTGGAGTGATGTCAGCCAATTTGAAAACTCAGAGTTATCATTTCTATGGCCTGAAGCAGTTCAGACAACACTTGAGAATATGAACAGCTGTCTCCCGAAGCCAAAGAAGATGCCGATGCTGTGATGTCATGGAGCCATGCAGCCTGAAGCTCTGCTGAGCTTTACAGACACTTGGGATGTTTGGTAAAAAGAGGAGACACCTCGGTTAAACTGTACATGAATCGAACATCACAGTCAAGGAGACACCACACACAGTTTGTGTCTGTGTGGAACAATAATGTGTATTCACAGTACGACTGTACTTAAGTTCAGTGCGGTTATTCTTTGACCGCACATAACCAAGTTGGAAGATTTGCAATATAAATACCTAAGACTATCCTAAGACATTGTAGGCAACATTTTAAGAAAGTTTTATTTTTTTATGAAAGAATTAATTGATATTTGTTTTTCTTTTAAACCCTGAGTTCTCACCACATGACAATAATAGGTATGATGATGTGCAAGTATGTGACAGAGAAACAGAAAAGAAACTGCAAATGGCAACTTCCATCAACTCTTAACAAGAATAAACTATGCAGGAGAGTCTGTGTATTAAATACGTCAGACAGAAAAATGATGGAAAACAAACGTTTTTGCTCATTGACATTAAAAAAATACACTTTATGGCTTGTTTCGTCATGTCTAAAAAAAACAGGAGCTCAATGTCATGATCAGTGTAAAACTGTACATACACATGGAATGACATCTATTGTGCAATATTGACAGTGGCCTCAAAAGAAACAAATACTTGACCATGTTATCCACAGCTAATATGCATTGTACAGTTTCCAGAAAGACCGAGAAAAAATAAAGGCACTTTAAAACAGCGAGAGCCTGAGCCTCTGTCTCACTGTCATCAACTGTTAACGTGGAGCCCTTGTTTAAAAGCACTGATCTAGTCGAGTGAATCAGCTGCAGAGAGGCACTAATCATCATGTTTATACAGAGGCAAGTGTTTTTATAGGCAATACATTGTACATATGTGTGGCTAGATGGCACTGTTCCCATAAACACAATATGATTCACAGCTCAGCTGTAATTTCAAATAAGCATACACACAAAAAACACACATTGGTACACTCACACCTGAACCAACACCTTAACAGACAAAAACACACCAGCAATTCTAAAATCCACTCACACAGTCTCAATTTGTCACCGGGCAATAAGTACTGGAGCACGACTACTCGTTTTCCAGAGAAAAAGTTGTTCACCTTAGTTGACCACATGCTCACCCATCAAAGAGCGAAAACAGCCACACACACGTTTAATTAATACAGCAAGTAATCAAGCTGCTTTCTCAGGTTTCCTTTAGTGTCAGTTTCCTGTCTGGATCCTGAGCAGCGGAGCAGACGGGACAAGGATTTTGACCGACAGTGGATCCACATCTGCACCTGAGGGGGGGTGTGTACTGAAGGTCTGTTGTTCATGTCAATATCACCACATGCATCCTCTTACTCAGAAAAGTCCCACCATGTGATCGATCTGCCTCATGTAGATGCTCTTTAATGGCAGAGTGTACCGTCGCTCCTCAGGAATCCTATCGCACTGTGAGAGAGAGAAAAGGCACAAAGAATGTATATGAAGTCGATGTAAGTGAATTTTAAGAAAATCGATTTTGAGAAATATTATCACACTGTAAGTAGCACATGAAAATGGTGAACAGTGAGCAAGGACGAAAGCCTTACGTTGCTGTCGTTGCTCGGTGGTGGCCTGCTGTTTGGCTCTCGTGCTGCCAGCACTCCCTCTTCACAAGGAGACAAGTCATTCCACTGTTTCTCCCTGAAACGCTCATCTATAGGCACAACATGGCCCTCTGTCGTGAAGATGTACTTGTTATCGGATTTGTGAAGTGGGTTGTCCTCATCAAACAGCTGCAATGCAAGAGACATTTTTTGTGTATATGACAGTGTGGAGAGAGTTGAGCCAAAAGTGGGTCTGAATTGGGAATGTGCCTAATGACTGATTTCTCTGACATTTAGAGTTCCCCAAAACAAATTTAAGACTGCACTGACCTCTTCCAGTTCGCATCACTCATCAAAACTTATCTTTTCAAAATGTCTTTAAATGTGCGAATGATGTGTGTATTTTATGTTCTATTTTATAATTGTTTTAACTAATGCAAAGTGTCTTTGAGTACCATAAAAAGCACTCTATAAATAAAATGTATTATTATTATTATTATTATTATTAAAATAGTCTACTAGTCCTAAAAGTGAGAAAAACACTCAGAAAAGTCAAAATTGAGCACAGTTTAAAGTATAAATAAAAATATATTGCCTATATGAGCCATTCGAAATTACTTTTTTCAAATCGTATTTTAAATAATGCTGAAATGTGTGGCACTTTGCGCAATGCTTTATGAACACTGTGCATTATCCTACATAACAAAACAACAACTCACTAACTAAAAGCTAACAATAACATTTATTTAAAATAATATTATTTAAGAGAATTAATCTTTAGGAAACGTGCCTGGTTATTAAAAAGGCATTTTCATGGAGGAAACAAAATCACATAAAATAATGATCATTTTAATAACAAGTTTTTCAGACTAGTATTTCTGGTGGCAACAAGCAAAGGATGCATCCAGTCAACCAATCGCATACATCCCTAGTCTGAATTGTATTCTGACAATGGCTGTGTGACACTGACAAAATCAGATGAGATTATATTTTTGATTGAGTATCTTGACATATTAATAATGTGACAACATTTAAAGGGTATCTAATGATGTTTCTAAGAGACACTAATAATCAGTTTGCTGCTTTTATCTGTTTTATGTCATTGTAAATGAAATATGTCTGGGTTTGCAGCTGCTGCTTGAAAAAAGTAATTTGAGAATACAACATTGAGTTCTTGGAAAAATAACTGAGTTCCTAAGAGTGAATGCAGTGATTGAAAAAAAATCCATCACTTAATCTGTGAAAACTAAACATTCATTTCAGCAGTGATTTAAAACATGATAATGGAGTGAAATTAGGTTACAGTGAACACTTTGCTCAGCTTGAACAGTCTGCTATAGGAAATTGTGGGATAGGTGGGAATAACATATCAGCCTCTCACTTCCTTCTGTGTAATAGATGTTAGGAATTGCATTATCAGGCACGACATAGACAACACAGAACATCCCAAATTTTATCAAACTTGTGTTCTGTTCATGCAAATCAAAGAGCTGAGTACGATTCTGAAATGTATTATCTGTAAAGATCCTTGCAGTTTTTATTGGGACTGCCCTCCAAAGCAAGAGTCTTAGATTCTTAAAGATCTAAGTTACTGAATAAACTTCTCTGCCTTGCAAGAAAATGCATTTTTTTTTTTAAATTGGATCCAAGAAAAAAAACCTATTGGCAACACAATTGGTACAAAGAAATCTTCAGGGTATTTCCCATGGAAAGACTCAGTTCCAAAAAGGGAAATGAGAGCAGCATCATATACGTATGTATGGCAGCCACTGATAAATCACTTTCCAAATGCAGTGACTTTACTCAAAGAGGAAGCAGCACAGTGGATTGGGAAGCTGCAGGGGCCCTTCTACAATTCACTCAATGAATGATTTGCATGTTTAAAAGTGTATTAGCAACAGTGTGTGTGCATAATATGTATCTTTTTCTGATTAATATATGTGTCTAACATCTGACTTTTTAATGTAACAGGAAAGGTTACATTTAGCAGTCACACCCAGGTCAAATTCCTCTGCAGTAGTCACAGGTATTTATTAGCTCCAGCTCTAATCTGCATTGATGGAAACACCCTGCTGTGTGTGCTAATTTTAGCCTGTTTACCAGCAAGATACAATGACGCATCACAACAAAATACCATCCATCTCTGCCCAAGCAGCACTTAAACATCGTTTGAAAGAGAAGCTAAATAAGTAAGAGATATATAAAAGGAAGTAACCTCCATGAAGTTGTCACAGGACTCCAAGCTGCTTTCTACTGATTACTACCCTGTTTTCTGGCCAGTCCATGACACTGAACATGACACACCAAAAAACCCACACATACAGCATTCTTTCACATTCATATATAACATAACTTTATATCTGACGTGCTCTGGCTGTAACTTACCAGGTAAAGATATTTGCATGTCTCACTGAGGAAGAAGCTCTCCATGCGATCCTCTTTGGATTTGTCCACGACATGGTGGAGAGTGGCGTACCCACATCTGCAAGTGACACAGATGAGTTTAGAGTAGGGACATCAAAGCTCTGTGAACCTTTCAATAAAAAGTATATTTCACATGTTCCTCACCTGACTTTGGCATTTTTCTCAAGGCTCTGAAGAATATCCATTCCAACATGCAAATAGAAAGGATTTTTGGTCGCCTGTGGGAAGAAAAGTAACTCTTGAGTAAAAGATAACGAACCACTAGCAGCCATGTTGTGTTTGCAGGTCGGTACCTGGTACAGCAGATAGGTTGACTCCACCAGCTCTGGCCTTAAGGGGTAGAAGAGCACATCAGGAGCCTGCAGCTGCCAGTTGTATCTCTCTGGCAGAGCCCCAAAGCGCTTCCAGATGGCATAGTAGAAGGCGTGCAGGCAAATTGCATTATCTACATCCCCATTGAGCACCTAGTGCACAACACCTCACTTTAGTTGAACACATATTTTACACTCGTATTTTAAATCTGTCACAACATGCACATAATCTGACCTGCAGCCCAGGGAAGAAGGCCTGGAGGGAGTCAATCCAGGTGTTCATTATCTCACCACTGAACATGTTCACATTAACATAGAGAGGCGGGTCACCCTCTCCTTCATTACACGACTCTCTCCTGGAAAAACACAGAGACGGAAGAGGGTTCACAATATGTCATATGACTAAATACATGTTCACATTACAGGACTTAATGCTCAATGTCTAATTTTTTCCCTTTGCCTGGACTGTTCACATTCACATTTCACCCATATCTGACATCAGTGTGAACGGATCTCTGCCCTGAAACATCTCATATGCAACCAATAACATAACACACATGCATTCTGGAAAAACAACAAGAAAGATCACGTTTGCAAGACAGGCATTTGGGAAGAAATTAATGACATAGCGGTGTAAGTGTTCATTTTACAAATGATTTGCTGCAGAGGTCAATCTGTCATATGTTGAGGATGAGGGTTAGAATAGAGGGAGAGAGGTGTGGGTGCAATAGAAGTGGGGCTGCGATGTGGAAGGTTTCACACAGAAACCATTACTCCAAAACTTAAGCAATGCTCAGGACTACATTCCAAGATCCCTGTCAGTGCCTAACAACAAGACTGTCCCCATCAGAAAGTAACTAGCAACGTTCTTCAGTTTCAACAGACTGCTCTGACACTATCTGCGCCTGCACAGTGAAATCCGTTGTTTAAAAAACACATAAATTCCAATATGACTGTTCTGACAGCAGCTGCATGGTGATAATGATAATAATAACTGTATTTGTAGTGCACTTTTCAAGCTGAAAGCACAAAGGTGAGGAAAATACAAAACAAAAATGAAACTAATAAAACATAAGCATATACATATGCCTACACCAACATATATACCTGTAAGCATGCATACATATACACATGGCTGCAAATACACACACTCCCATACACACAATAAGTCTTATCAACTTTCAGGAAAGGCCAATATGTAAAAGTAAGTTTTCCGATGAGCTTTACAGATGTGAATGGAGTCAGCTGATCTGATGCTCAATGGGAGGCTGTTCCAAAGCCGAGACGTGAGAACTGAAAAGGCTTGATCGCCCTTTTTCTTTAACCTGGACTCTGGAACAGTTAGAAGACCCAGACTAGCAGACCTGAGGGGCCTGTTTGGATGTTACAGTTTGAGAAGCTCAGTTATATGGTCACTGCTGATGTGTGATGTGCAAGTGTCATACTGGGCTTTTAGTTTGTGATTTACTGCTGTATAGTTAGAGGTTTCTTATATTTTACTGATGTCTATTTTAAATTCAGTGTTGGAACGACCCCTCATGAATACTGTTTCGTTTTACCTGCATTACTGTTGTATGTTTTCTGAGATGACAATTAAAGTCAATTAAAGATTTGGATTTGATTTGATTATATACTCCTATGCCAGATCATTGAGAGCCTTATATGTGATTAAAAGTACTTTAAAATGGATTCTGAAAGAGACTGGAAGCCAGCGCAGGGAGGCAAAAATAGGTGTGATGTGTGAGGAACATTCTGTAAGTCTAGCTGCTGAATTTTGAACAATTTGGCGCTGGTGTGTAGAGCGATTGTTTCGGCAGGTGAACAAGGCATTAAGGTAACCAAGGAAGGAGGATATAAGAGCATGTATGATTTTCTCTGTGTTATTAAAAGGACAGAAGTGACCCACATTTGGAGATACATGTGACCTAATGTGGAGATTTTTCTCAGATGATCAGATATGCATAAGATTTAAGACCACACATGAAAGTGGCCCTGATCTGATTGAAAATAAAAGTCATATTTCTGTGTCCACACTACTCACTACTACTAAAAATGATATCTGTGTCACATGAGAACAAAAAAAAATGTTTGGGCCACATTTGCTTGTAATGTTGTAATGTAATGAACAAAGCCAAAGTCTGAGTTTGTTTGCTCTTTTTATATCATAATCCTAATTATATGTTTGTATATTTTCATATAAAAGCAGCCACAGTGCTCCTGACATTCTCCTGCTGTTTGCCACTGACCAGCTGAAGGTTTTGTCTCTTACTTCAGGGCTATTTATCAGCAGTTGCTAAGGTGAAACAAAGTGTTGCGTTCCTGTGTGACTACGTGTGAGTGCAGATGTTCCACCAGACAGGTCATAACATCCTCAAGTCTCAGCTAGCTTTCCACATCCCTCCATAAGAAACACAATACTGTTAAACATGTCAGCAGTTTTAATTCCTCTTTTATTGGCCAATCCCGGAGAGAGATTGGTTTACATAGCTGCGACAGTTTCCCAGTTTCAGGTGCAGCTTCATGTGGAGCTCCCTAAAGCCACCAACACACCCAGAGTGCACGCATTGTGTTGCATTCTTTCAGTGTGGGACTCACCCTCTCCTCATGTGGTTCTGAATGCTCTCGTAAGCAGCTTGGAACATCCTGTAGTCCTCTTTCTCACCAAAAAGGATGTACGATTTCAGCAAATACTCATAGAAGGAGTCCATACCGGCTCCAAGACCACTCTGCTTGCCCACCCACTGGCCTGTTTGGATGTTTACTACATTCCCTGGAGAGGGAGAAACAGATATCGGAGATAAATGCTTTAAATGCTATGATAATTGTCGGTATTGTGTTTATATGTTGTGGACTTGAAGGGACAGTTCACCCTAGAAATCTTCTCACACGTGGTGCCATTTATCAGTCTAGACAGATCTGGTGTGAGTTGATGAGTGTTGGAGATATCGACCATAGAGTTGTCTGCCTTTTTTAAAAAGATAATGCACTAGATGGCACTTAAACCACCAAAAAACATTCGGCAGCTCACACCAAAACAATCTAGATTAATAAATAGCATTACAGGTTAAAGGAAAAATATGTATTTTTGATTCTGGGGTGAACTGTTCCTTTAACCATGCTGGATAGAAGCTTAAATAAGCAAGAAAGAAATCAAGGAACAAGGAGAAGCTACACAGCTTTACTTACCTAACAGACCGGTTTCGTTGCTCCTCAAGTTCCACAGAGCTCTGACAGCTCGTCTGGCCACCCACTCAAATGTGGAATCTCCAATCAAGCGGCTCAAAATCCCAAACTCCACCAGCAGGGACCCGGCTCCTGCAGTACACGTCTCATTGATGCTATCAGCAGGAACTCCAGTCTTCAGGTTCACCTGCATTTCAGGTACAAATCAATAAAGATGCTAAGTCATGCAACTTCCATAACTACTTTAGGCAGAGCTATGACAGTTTGAAACCCTTGTCTGTATTTTAGCAGGACTCTTGTACAGTGAACCTCTAATAAACAGTCTCACTCACCCTGGGGTAAGGAATGCCTGTGCTGGTGTTCTCAAAGGCCGGCAGTAAGCGGACAGCCAAGTCATGAGCCAAGTGAAGCAGCTCATTATCATAACCATCAAAGCTGACCTTGCCGAATGGATGTTTTGGGTCCGTCAGCAGGATGTGAGATGAGATAAGGCTTCCCAGGATCCTTCAAAAGATGAGAGAAATATTCATCTGGGGTTCAACACAGAGACTGATTGTGAAAAAAATCACATGTCAAACTGTTTATTACTATGGACCTCATGGAAACAGCCCGTCAATTTGAAACTGTCATCTTTGGCCAGCATTATTTATTAATTCAGAAACAATTAAAAAGTCCACTTAGGTTAGGGCTACATACCTAATCATAAAATGATCACAATCAAGATTGATCAAGATTAAATGTGAAACAACAGCTACAAAAAAATGCAAGTTAACACAACAACATTACCGCACGATATATGAACATGACATTAATTTATGGCGACCTCGATAAGTCAGTAATGTAGCTATCATGACAGGGCGAGGCCTAAGTATAAGTTTACTGAGTGCATAAAGAAAGTAAAAGCAGTCGTCAGTTTGAAATGGTCACATTTGAGGGTTTTTGAGAAAGTCTCACATAATTTGTGTATTGAATGTTCCATATTTTAAATAATTCAGAAATTTAGAGAATGTCGCCCAAAATATCGCTCATGTAAAGTTCTTCTTGTGTAGTGACATTTGTACCTGATGTTTGCCTCGAAAACCTGCACAGTGGAGTCCTTGTCAAAAGATACAGTATCTATAACCAGCTTGACAGCTCTCTGGAACTCTGTCACATTGCCGAGCACCTGCAGAGAAACACCACATTATGTAACCACAGTTTACTCTATCAACAAGCTCATTTGGCATTTACACTGAGAGGCTTCCAGGTATTTGAGTCAAATTATATTCTTACCATTATAGATAGAAACTATTGTAAAGAAGCTCTGAAGCCATCCAGTTACAACTTCATAAAATAGTCTGGTGCGTGTTCGTTTGTGTGCAGAAATGATTTTGGTGTCTCAGGAGATGCCCTGCACTGACACAGGCAGTTCAGAAACTCTGCTCCACCTGACTCCATGTCACAGGAAGTGTTAAGAGTGGCAGAAAACACCCAACTTACAACACAGGAAATGCTAACCACTGTTCCACTTTTCCACTGTGCCACTGCATACAGTACAAAACCCTGCTTTTGCAAAACAGGTGCTGTTAAAGTCATGAGGAGAAAAAAAACATTTTCTACCTCACAAAATGGATCAAGTTGCTTTCTAATCTTACAGTGGGTAACAAGTTTTAATAAATTCTGCACAGATTCTTTCCTTTTTAACTCTTAGAGAAGTTTCTAAACTCTGCTGAGTTTGCAGGACATTATGCGACATAAAGACACAGTAACTGAGTATAACTTACCAGTAGGGTGTCTAAGGTGTCAATCAGTGTAAGGGAGTAGTTCCCCAAAACGTCATTTATGTTGATGTTCGACCTGAAGTTAAAGCAGTGAAACAGACTTGGTGTCAGACAAGTGAAATCGCACCTTTTAAATTCAACAACATTGTACAGTGTTGTGCAGACATGAGGGCAAAATCTTATCTTAGCAGATGGGATGGAGAGAAAATAAAAACATTTAAAATACAGTACAGGCCAAAAGTTTGGACACACTTTCTCATTCAATGCGTTTTCTTTATTTTCATGACTATTTACATTGTAGATTCTCACTGAAGGCATCAAAACTATGAATGAACACATGTGGAGTTATGTACTTAACAAAAAAAGGTGAAATAACTGAAAACATGTTTTATATTCTAGTTTCTTCAAAATAGCCACCCTTTGCTCTGATTACTGCTTTGCACACTCTTGGCATTCTCTCCATGAGCTTCAAGAGGTAGTCACCTGAAATGGTTTCCACTTCACAGGTGTGCCTTATCAGGGTTAATTAGTGGAATTTCTTGCTTTATCAATGGGGTTGGGACCATCAGTTGTGTTGTGCAGAAGTCAGGTTAATACACAGCCGACAGCCCTATTGGACAACTGTTAAAATTCATATTATGGCAAGAACCAATCAGCTAACTAAAGAAAAACGAGTGGCCATCATTACTTTAAGAAATGAAGGTCAGTCAGTCTGGAAAATTGCAAAAACTTTAAATGTGTCCCCAAGTGGAGTCGCAAAAACCATCAAGCGCTACAATGAAACTGGCACACATGAGGACCGACCCAGGAAAGGAAGACCAAGAGTCACCTCTGCTTCTGAGGATAAGTTCATCCAAGTCACCAGCCTCAGAAATCGCAAGTTAACAGCAGCTCAGATCAGAGACCAGATGAATGCCACACAGAGTTCTAGCAGCAGACCCATCTCTAGAACAACTGTTAAGAGGAGACTGCGCCAATCAGGCCTTCATGGTCAAATAGCTGCTAGGAAACCACTGCTAAGGAGAGGCAACAAGCAGAAGAGATTTGTTTGGGCCAAGAAACACAAGGAATGGACATTAGACCAGCGGAAATCTGTGCTTTGGTCTGATGAGTCCAAATCTGAGATCTTTGGTTCCAACCGCCGTGTCTTTGTGAGACGCAGAAAAGGTGAACGGATGGATTCCACATGCCTGGTTCCCACTGTGAAGCATGGAGGAGGAGGTGTGATGGTGTGGGGGTGTTTTGCTGGTGACACTGTTGGGGATTTATTCAAAATTGAAGGCACACTGAACCAGCATGGCTACCACAGCATCCTGCAGCGACATGCCATCCCATCCGGTTTGCGTTTAGTTGGACGATCATTTATTTTTCAACAGGACAGTGACCCCAAACACACCTCCAGGCTGTGTAAGGGCTATTTGACCAAGAAGGAGAGTGATGGAGTGCTGCGGCAGATGACCTGGCCTCCACAGTCACCGGACCTGAACCCAATCGAGATGGTTTGGGGTGAGCTGGACCGCAGAGTGAAGGCAAAGGGGCCAACAAGTGCTAAACACCTCTGGGAACTCCTTCAAGACTGTTGGAAAACCATTTCAGGTGACTACCTCTTGAAGCTCATGGAGAGAATGCCAAGAGTGTGCAAAGCAGTAATCAGAGCAAAGGGTGGCTATTTTGAAGAAACTAGAATATAAAACATGTTTTCAGTTATTTCACCTTTTTTTGTTAAGTACATAACTCCACATGTGTTCATTCATAGTTTTGATGCCTTCAGTGAGAATCTACAATGTAAATAGTCATGAAAATAAAGAAAACGCATTGAATGAGAAGGTGTGTCCAAACTTTTGGCCTGTACTGTATATGTAAATTGTAATTAGCATCATGAGTAGAGGGTTTCCTTCCTGAATTATCTGACATCACACCGCAAACACTTCAGGACTCCTGAGAGACTATTAAAGCAACAGCTACAGCTGATGTGAAGACAATAGGTGGTTATTCCCCTCACAAACAGGCTAAGACTGCAACTAACAATTATCTTCATTATCAGTTTATCTAATGATTATGTTCTCTATTCATTAAATGTTGGGCATTTTTGTTTGGAAAGCGAATCATCAAAATAACTGACGATAAATGTTCTGATGATCTAATATTGATATATTATTCTAGCTCCAGCACAGGCATCATTATTTTGTTGTAACTCTGTGTCTCTCATGTGGCAGGGCAATTTCACTTCTACTCAAAAATGTTGCACATTTCCATCAAGTGACTGAGAAGAATGTTGATGGGTAACATTGCTGATATAACAGCTACAGATAATGAGGATTTATTTCATCATTCACATAATAATAATAATACATTTTATTTATAAGCGCCTTTCAGAACACTCAAGGACACTGTACACAGCAATAAAACAAAACAATAAAAACACAGATTCATATTTTAACTGAAAACCTCTCTGTCCTGCTGCATCTAAAGAAGAGTTTGGAAACTACCTGCATGGTCAGATACCACAATGGCTGAGCACAAAATATGTTTTCCTGTAATTAATATACAGACTTGCTTTTATGTAAGGTCAAATTTGCTTCTGTTAAAACAATAATCTAATATATCTTAACCTCAGTTATCTTATTTTTGGTCTATTACACACTTCATGCAAATACTGCACGAGTGTCACATTGTATGCTTCTACTCTAAACGTCTAAATTAACAGTACAGGGAGGGAAATCTTATAGCTGACATACTGTAGTGTAATCCTACTCGTTCTGTTTGAATGTTCAGCACAGGGGAATAACATGCACAGGTGTTTCAGCTACACTGAAAGACAAAGCATCTGTGCGTTTTACTCCCCTGAGCGAGACATTAAACTGGGGATCTGGATATGCAAACACTTCTCTTGCATGCTCGATTTCCTTCTCTCTTTTCATTCCTGGTTGAGCGTGATGTTGGTTAACCAAGTACTTAATCGACAAACAATTCATCGGAAATTATTTGGATATTCAATAAATCATTCAAGCCACTTTGAGTCTTTTTATTTCTTAACAAAAATGACACATAATAACTGGCTCCAGCTTATCAATTTCCTGGCAGTTTTAGACTTTCGCAATAAAAAACAGATTATCCATGGGGTTTTGATTGTGCACACAAGTAATTTGTAGATGTCACCCATAAAGCTGCAACAACTGGTGGACTCAAAGATAATGAATCGCCAACTATTTTGGTAGTTGATTGATTGTGTGTCATTTTTCAGGCAAAATTGTCAAACATTTGCTGGTTCCAGCCTCTTAAATGTGAGGATTTGCTGCTTTTTTTAATTCATTTTTGATAGTTAATGAGGCATCTTTAGATTTTGGACTGCTGGTTGGACAGAAAAAGCAAAGTGAAGACGTCACTTTGGGCTCTAGGAAAGTGTTTGAGCATTTTTCAGTTTGTTTTTTTTTTAAATTATATGGACTAAATTATTCATTCATAATCATATAATTATAATAAATAAAATAAAAAAGAATAAGAAACAAAATATAGTATAATAAAATAAAATGTCTTAAAATATAATAAATACAAATAAAATATTTTAAAAAATAGAATAAATAAAAATATAATATAATAAAATAAAATAATAATAAAAAATCATATAATTATAATCATATTTATTTATAATGATACTTTATAATAAAATTAAATAATAATAAAGAATCATATAATTATAATCATATATTTATTTATAATGATTCATCCTGAAAATAATCGCCGCCTTATTCAATACTGAAAATAATTGTTAGTTGCAGTCCTTCCTACCTGGGGCTGTGGGAAAATGAGATAGACATTTCTTTTTACTATTTCCTGACATTTAATAGACCAAACAATCAACTAAAGCAGCTATATTAATAATGGAATTATGTTTATATTATATTTTTTCTACCTTCATTAGATTTCATATTTCCATGAGGTTTCACTATCCAAATATCAAATGCATGATGTGATGAAGACATTCAGCACTCCCTTAATGTACCAGAGCCCCCCTGGACCCTCATCAAGGCTCCTTCAGTGGTACCTGGATCCCAGTTTTGGACCTTGTGTTGTGTCTTATGCAAAGGTGCCTGAAACAGTGAGCAGCAGCGGGCAGCACTGTCATCAGTAGGATTACACTACAGGCTAATATGATTACAAAGTACATGCAAATAGAGTCTGCAGAGGACAGTTAGGATGCAACTGTCTGTCATGAAGCCTGGGTGTGCTGTGCAGTTCAGAGTGCCACTCCACTGACAGCACAACAAATAACACACTTGTCTTATAGAAAGCATTAACCTGCAGGTGCAGGTAGTCAGCTTTGAATGACTCACGGGTTTTGCACGTCTGGTCCCCTCCCCTCACAGTCAATGGGATTCAGCTCGTCCTCGGGAAAGGCATGTTTCATGTAATTGTCATACCCGAAATAAAACATTTCCTTCGCCATGTCCTTCATTTTGGCTTTCAGGGTATCTGGGAAGGAGCTGTATCTCCGCACGTACTCGTCCTTGTTGCCATCGAAGAAGCTCAGGTAGGATCTCCTGTGGGACCCCTCTCCCACCTTCGCACAGGTGGTCGCCACCTCCTCATGTCTGTGGCCGTGTATTCGCTGAGACCACGAATTAGCCCTCGGGTCGGTCCCCTTTTCGTCCCTGAATAACAAGTCTAATTTGTGCAAACCGAAACTGAGTGGGAAGTTGAACCCGCAGCTAACGTTAGGTCCCAGTCCGAAAGCTAGCCACAGCACACAGCTGAGGGACAGTCTCAATACGACCAGACCAACTACTATTGACCTCCATTGCATCTTTGCCCCGGCTCGGTCTTTAAACGCATAATTTAAGTCCACACACGTCCGACGGGTGAACGAATGTGAAACCCTCTGTTTGTCAGGCTAAACTACAAGCACACAGGTTGTGGTGATTCCGCCCCGTACGCTTCCTGTCAACAGACCAGCCCCTCCCAGATCCTGAGCTGTGATTGGTGCTTCTCTTGTGTCGTCACGCTACATAGCGAAGCAGACTCGTTCTGTGATTGGTCGAAGAGCTGTCAATCTCCGGGTTGCGTTTCGTGGCAGTCCTGACGTGTCTTAACTCAACTTCTGCTCCAATAGAAAACAGCCACAAAAGTGAGACGTTCAGGGGCACAGAGTTTTAAAACACACATGATTGTGTTTTAAAAACACAATCATGGTTTGGCAAGGTTCAAATCCTCACACAGACAGAAAATAAAAGCAATAAAGTAGATATGTTAATTCTTATTTTTAATTTGGATCCCCACTAAAGTAACAGCTACTCTTCCTGGGGTCTACACACAACAAAATATAGCATAACAACACATAATCTATAACACATATTTAGACAAGATCAATCTCTCAAGACAGATTCTGTAATTTACATTGTAGAGGAAAAAAAAAATTCTTTTTTTTTTACCGATGGATTTCCAGATTGAGACAAGATAAGATAAGGAAGACTTTAAATCCCACAACAGGGAGCAGCGCAAGAGTCAGTAGCAAGAAAAGGGAAAAGAAAAAGTGATAGCATGCCAAAAAAATGGATTAAAACATTACAAAAATATAACTGAAGTAAAATTAAGAAGAAAAAAACATAAAATCTCTAAGCCCTATTTACACCTTTCAGTATACAGATACTGGATGTCCATGGTAAAAAGTTGCACAGGATAACTAAAATACACACATGGTGCATAGTATATTTACTGTAAAGCTATAGAAATATAGCCTATAGTGTTGCACATTAAGTAGTAAAGGGGGGAAGAGAGGGGATGACATGCAGCAAGGGGTTACAGGCTGCGGCAAGGACAGTGCCTTTGTATGTGGGATGCCTGCCCCACCCACTAAGCCACTAGGCGCCCCTGAATATATGATTATCAGTAATGAGAATATGTGTTTATAACCTGAGGGTAGAAATAGTTCAGATTAGCTGTTGTGTGGGTGATGGAGACAGAGACAACAAATGCTATGCTATGATATGCTGTCTTGTTGATAAATCTGTCTGCTGTTTGAATGAAGGACCTGTGGTAGTGCTCTGTCTTGTACTGTGGGTGTCACAGTCTGTTACTGAAGGAGCTGGTTAAGGGGGTGAGAGAGGTGTAGTCCATGATTGATGTCAGCTTGGCTTACATCCTCCTCTCACCCACCTCCTCTATGGAATCAAGAGGGCAGTCAAAGACAAAGTCAGCCCACCTAACCAGTTTGTTTAGTCTTTGTCTGTTCATCTCCATGCCTCCAGCTCCCAGCAGACCACTTTGTAGATGTTTGTACATGCAACAACAGTGTCCTGCCCACTCTAAGGATGTCAGTCTCATCAGCAAGTAGAGATAACTTTGGCCATTTTTGTACATGGTGTCTGTGTTGGTTGAGCTCACACTAGCTGACCTCCCTGTATTCCTGTTTGTTCCCTTCTGATACACATCCATCAGCTGCCGTATCATCAGAGATTTTCTAGAGGTGACAGATGTCCGTGTTATGTCTGAAGTTTGATGTGTGCAGGTTGAATAAAAACAGGAGAGTACAGTACCCTGTGGTCCACATGCTGTAAACCATCACATTAGACATACAGTTATGAAGCCTTACATACTGGGGTCTGTTGGTGAGGTAGTCGATGGGCCACACAGCCAGGCGGCAGTCCACTCCTGCTCTCTCCAGCTTCCCCCTTAGCAGTGCTGGCTGTACTGCAAAAAACATGACCCTTGCAGCGCTCCTAGTGTTTTCAAGGTGTCATTAATTTATCTGTATAATTAGAAATATTGGCAAATAAAATACTGGCTTACTGATAAGACCCCTAAGAGTTTAAGTGCTGGCTATATTGACAGTTAATGAATCATTTATCAAAGCTGTATTGATCAGTTTAGGCCAGTATGGTCAAATGTAATGTAATGTAGTAGATTTACTCAAGTACTTTGGGCTATCTAACTACAAATTTGAGGTACTTTTTGTTCTCATGCCACTTGAAACTTCTACTTCACTTCATCTCAGAGAGAAATATTGTGATTTTACTCCCCTAAATTTGTCTGACAGCTTTAGGTACTTTACAAATTCAAATTCTTACACACAAAACATACATAAAGCGTTTATAAAGTATGATGGTCTGTAACATATTAATCTACTCAACAGTTTATACAAGCACAGCCAAAACAGTAAGTAAATGTCATATATTTAATGAGTGTGACTCTTGTTTAGGACCCAAATCTACTGAATAAATATATCACTAGGTGGCTTACCACCTCAGAGAAACATTTTAGATCCTTTTCACAGCAGATACTTTGACTTGTCATAGCAGGAAAATACCAGGTGGATTGAATTTCCTTTAAGACGGCTCACTTCCGCCAAGTGTTCCTGTAAGCTGTGACAGTGAGCCAGCATGCACAACATAAAGACAGGAGCTCACCTGAATGGAATGCATTTGTTTTTCCATGTCGTCTATTCTTAGTGCTTTTCCTGCCATGACAAGCCAGAATATCTGCTGTGAAAAGGGTCTATTACACGAGGCCACCAGGCTCCATACAGAAGAGTCAATCAAGTACAGTATTGCCAAGAGGTCTAATAAGACCAATCAGAGACACCTGCACCTCGGGGTCCCCCAGGAGGAGCCGGAGAGTGTTGCTGTGGAGAGGGACATCTGGAATACTTTGCTCAGCCTGCTGCCCCAGTGATAAGCGGTAGAAAATGGATGGATGGAGAAACACCTGTGTTGATGTGTCTTGGGTCTTTAAAAATTCATTTTAAAATACTGGATGAAATGCACGTGTGTAGCCTGCATACACTTTAGTGACTTTACTGTTGTACTTTCATAATGCATTACTTTTATATAATGGTATTGCTACTAATGGCTTTGCAGACTGGAGTTAAAAAGGCAAAACACAAGTAGGAAATACTGCATTTCCATATGCAAAGTTAATATATCTCATAGCATACTCATCACCACATGTATACACAACACTGAAATGGACCTTTCCACAGAATGAAGAATTAATTTCTTTTAAGAAGTGCAGTTGAATGTCATTTTTTAATGGGATTTTGAAAGACCCATGCTACACCTGCACAGGTGTTGTCACTTTGCCTGATTAGACCTCCTGTCAGGAATGTATAAGTGTCCCTGCACTCATGCGGTGCTGGAATAATCGGAAAATGAGCTCCCAACTTGGAAAATTCACGTGAATGCCCCCTTAAGATGGAATGCCTCAGGAAGTCAGTGAAAATTTTGGTACACAAGTTGCTGAGATGATGTCATATATGCAGAAACATGGCAGGTGAATGAAAACGTTTGGTTGAGGTTTGTTTGTTTTTAAATTCACATATTGCATGTCAATTTTTGCTCACTTGTAATTTAGTTGCCATTTGTGTAAAGTGACCTGGATTAGTAAAAAAAGTTATACAATAGCATTGGTCAGCTTAAACAATATTTTAATAGTTTTAGGGGACGTACTGGTGCAGCAACAAGTCTGGGACAAAATTCTTTGTAATATAAAGCTTCGAACTGTTACTAACATGTTGTTTAAGCACTCTGAGCAATAAAATCATACACATCTTCCTTCTAGCGTCCATTTTGTTCCCACTTTACAACTTAAAGCTCATGCGCATACCAAGTCAGAAGTCAGAAAAATTAATTTGCAACTCTGGACCATCCGAGGAGCATGTGAATGCACCATGTGTACAGCCTGTGCTTGACTGACTCTCCTGTAAGCTTTGCTGCACCTGTTATTAGTACATAGAGGTAACCTAAGGTAATGCCCTACATTCCTTCCACTGAGCAGTGGTGCTTATTTTCAATATTGCTGTATAAATATAGACAAGTTTACTCTTCTATATGGAATAACCCTCAAGTACAGATAGGGAAGAGTTAGTTGGAATAGTTGGCAGGGGAGCAAGATATGTGTGATTAATGATCTGTATAGAAATGACACATTTATAGACAAAAAAATATTGTGGTATAGAGCTACTAGTAGTATTTAATTTTTCTCTTCCAACACAATCTCTGTAACACTGACCAAATGGATCACTTCAAAACCTTCCTACAATAAATGGATCAAAACAGCTTTACTGTTCTCAAAAGTCCTGCAACAAGAAAAAGGAGTAGCTTCACAGCACCATGCCAATCCTGTCGCCATACACCTACACAGAGGGATAGAGTTCAAAAGTCGGTGTACAAATAAAAGGACACTGTCTAAATTAAAAAGCATGCCTTTTTATTTCTTGAATATATTGGTGTTTTTTAAACTCTTCCCAGGTAGGCACACCTTGCATGCTGCTTTGCTTCAGAGGTGAGAGACACTGCATTAGGCACTTTGAAATTTGCCACTCTCTCAGCTTCGAGGCAGCACAAACGACATCATACCACTGAGGCTACTTACAAACAGAGGCCAATATGAACCACACAACCCCGTACAGCTTTACTTTTAGTACATTCAGACTTTAAATAGAATCATATATTCGTACACGCACATCTCACATCAGTAAAAATCATACTAGCTTGATATTTGTACAGACCTGCATCAATTGACTTGCTTAAATGCACAGTTTACTAAAACAATAGACATGTTCTTGAGAGAAGAAAACCTGATCGAGTGAAGGGAGACCGTCGTTAAAGAATCACAGAGTAGAGCTTGACAGAAATGGGAACACCTGCACGTCCACATCAGCAATCTCCTGGCATCATGTCTGACTGTGAAGAGCTTCTCTCGTTATGCGAGGCCTGTTTGAGAAAATAAACCCTCCTTTGAGGGGGTCTGTTGTTGCATACCCAAGATTAGTGTTATAAACCACTGGGTATGATCAACTGGGTAATGCCTTAATGATAAACGGTAGATCCAAAATTAGGTTCTGACTCCAAGTTAAAGTACAGCTTTACAGGACGATTAATGCCAATGACAATCCTTAAATTTGGTATCACATTTTTAGTAGTGCATTCTCAGGGTCTGTGAG